ATAAATATTATCTTCTATATATCATATTTATCAGTCCGAGCAGCGTTTATTTATTTATTCACATGGAGTGACTGCTTTTAAGCATCATACCGACCTGATATGGAAATGTCTGTGTGAAAATCACATAGCAGTCCACTGTGTTTGTACAAAATAAGTTAACACAGTAATAGAACAAACACAAGTTGGAAGTTCTTAAAGTATTCGTATCAGTTTATTTATTCTCTTGCAAGTAAGAGTTTTGTTCACTGCCAGATAGAGCACACACAGTCTCCTTCCAGAGATTCCAGCAGTAACACATTTGCAAATACTGAAACTGAAATATTATGCTGAAGTTTAGCAAATGAAGAAAACACTGACAAGATTTTGTATGTGCACATTTGTCTGTGCATTTGAAAGATAGGAAACAAATATACTGTTACATTGTTATATATTATAACAAGCAATTTTTTTTAATGAAAAAATGCTCTAATTTAAAGACGAGATTTTTATTGAACATTTACATTCAAAATTTACTACATATATTTAATTAATCTATTTTTCAATATATGTATATACAAGCTAGGTGAAGTGTTTATTTTTATTCTATTATTGTACAACATTCATTTATTTTTTTCCCCCCAACCTGTATATTCTGTATTATAGATGGTACTATTATTAAATGTAGGTATAGGATTCAATCTCTTTAATTCTGGTCGCAAGTGTAACTGTATGTCTCTATTAACTACATTTGATCAAGTGCCTATGTAAGTCTCGTCCAAGCAGTGTTTAATTACTAGTAACAGAATTTTTCAATCAATTATCTGAATCTAAAGAGGCCTGTGACGCAACTTGCTATAGGTAGTTGTCCAGGTGGAGTTAGAGGTGGTGTACACCGGTGACTTTTTACCTACATCAGAATTTAATCACATTGTATGCTTCCATCCTCCTGGTAATACTGCCAGTAGTGCATGAACATTCACACAAATAAAGAGCAGGTAGTCCATATCTCATTACGTGACATTTCCAGAATTTGTAGCTTGAAAAACTAATTTGTCTACTGTATATGACATTTCATTTGAATCACAAGATGTTTGTTTCTAAGGGTTTGATTTTTCACTTTTCATCAGAGAATTAAGGTACACAATCAAATGTCATATACCTTGTCCAAAACAATGTATTGTAATCTCACAGTGGAACATAACTCATGTTACCAGTCCATGTGTGAATGAATTGAAGGGTGGAGTCTGCGCTACAAGTTAATGTATTCCTGTGCATGACGTATAATAAAATTAAGTGTTTCAGCAAAACTAGTGCATCATTGTATTTTTATTGGAAAGCACATCATTTTTACTGCGAGTGGATTCCTATTACCTCTATTAGAGTACATGTATGCTTGATTAAAATATGGCTTTTTTGGCAATACACGCCTGTCATTTATGTGCCTACACTACTAATAGTAATACAGTACTTCACCAAATAGTTACTACGCATTACCTGTACATTTTCATTATAAGATTTTTACAACTGAAATTGCCACCAGTCAATCATTCAACCATGAATATTGGGCTGTGATAGTATAAAATTATCTCGGTAATGTGTATACTTACGGTAATACACTATATGATTTGTGTCATGACCTGGCCACAAGCATCCAGCCAAATTCTTGGATTATGTGACACATTTTGACATTGGAACACTTTGTGTTCAGCTTTTTTGGCCTTCGTGTTTACAGTTAGATCACTGCTAGCAGTTGCAGACTTGTGATCGGTAAACACAAGTTCAAATCTTACCTTAGGCTGAACACCAAAACAGATCACCCCCTATCCTGGGTGAGTGTACTACAGACTCAATGGGAATGCCAATTCCACTGGCTGAGATTCATTAACAAATGCGACTTTGGGGGAACCTTGGTTAATTAAGGTCTGCAGGTGCTTGTGTTTGACCAGGTCTAGTTGACACCAGGATTAAATCCCAAACATGAATATGGCTTCTGTGACAAAAAATCAGGAGAGACAAACAGCGACATTCTATGTCTTAAACTGTCGCTTGGGACAAAAACTTTTAAAAAAATGTTTACATTTAGACCATGAATATTCATGAATCTAAATTTTTTGAACAAGTTCCACATAGCACACATATACCATGCAGTACTGTTATATACCTTTCGCATACAGTCAAACCTGTGTATAGCAACCACCCAAGGGACTTGGACAGATTGGAATTTTTTTTCGGATCACAAACTCACACATTTGACAATTTTCCCCAGAAAATGAGAAGGTACTTTTGCAACATCTATTTTAGTTGATCAAAATCAAATAAGTTTGATTTGACGAACTTACAAATTATTCATGAACAGATGAAAGGGTAGTCGCATAAGACAGTTGGTCTTTATACACAAGTTATTCATATGTTATGCCTTGGGACTGCCTAAAAAATGGTCACTATAGGCATGCATCTTCAAACAGAGGTGGTTACAACTGTATTAAGTCGCTATTGAGATGTAAAAGTTTGACCTCTGACTGTCCCAGTTTCTCAGACATGCCTGGGCAGGCACATATCAGTGTTTGAAATTAACTGCCCACTCATACCTTGAGATAGGTAACTTTTCAGTTAGGGTGGTAAAAATTAAAACTTGCATGGGTGGTAACAACTGTTTCTCGTCTTCTTCAATTAAAATTTTTAAAATGCAATTTTACTAAATAATATCATTGGACGAGTTGAATACACTTGGAGAAAATATAGTGTATGAATTAAATAAAAAAAATCATGATATCATGGAAAACAGATTTGGTTGGGTATTTTTGGTATGCACAGTGTGATCACCATGGGGGGAAAAAAATTGGTGACCATAAAACATTCACACACTGAGTTTGTCAGAATTACATTTTAGGACTCAGTGACATCACATGCATACAAGCAATTTGTGCTGCAGTAGAATCTACAGATTATCCACGGGCAGCTAATACTAAGACTTCTCCGATCTAGAAGAAAGTGAAACCACAGAGACACTGACACAAGACCATTGTCTTATTCTGCCAACATAAATCGACTTGACACGCTTACTTAAATTGAAACAAACTTTAATACATGGCTGGGAACTTTCTGGCAGGGTTGCTAAAATTGAAAGTTACTAGTACCTGCCCTTGTGTCTTGTATGCAATTATGAGCAATTTCACGTATAAAGTCACACACATATGCACATTTGTTTCATGATCAAATTCAAAAGGCAGCCATTTTATTGCTAAAAATGCTATTACTGCTATTCAAGAACCTTATTTCATGTGAAATGTGCTTGGTATTAGCCTGACATGTAGGTGTGAATGGCGTCCCCGTCGACCGAACGGCATCAGGCTCCTCTAATGCCTCATAGAATAGTGTACGTCTAGTTGGCAGGATTGATACTGCGAAATCGCAAAATTCACGCCTTCTTGCAATGCAGAGTGTCAATGAATATTCATTTTGGTGGTCATCGTCAATCAAAGCCAGATCATATTCAAAATAGCATTTTGTTTTTTAACGATTGCTTTTCAGGCAAAATGTATAACATGATGTATTGTGCACAATTTTACTTAGAACACAAGTCCCCGCATGCACAAGATATATACAACATATTTTATTAATAATTACAAAGGAGGCAGTGACTGCTTTCATAATTACTTCAATTTCCTCCTGACTTTAGGTTTTTTAACTGGTCTAAGATACGGATTGTCAATAACAGCTTCAGTTCTTTCAGTATTTTGTTGTGATGATGACTGACTGCCATCTACATTGTTTTGGCTATTGTTATCTTCTTTGTTTTCCTTCTCATCTTGTGTATCATTATCTTGTGAATCGGTTTGTTTATCAGAGTCTGTTTGTTCACTGGGATCATCATCCATGGAATCAGACTCATGTTCTGGTGGAAGCAATGCATCTAGATATGGTACTATTGGTGGTGTACACGCTATTACTGTTGGTAAAAAATAAACCAAATTATTAATCATCGATTACAATGTAGAAATATTGAATTGCATAACAGGTATCATCCCAGAGAGAGAAAGCTGTTGAGGAACATCCTATCAGCATACATCTGTCAACAAACATGTATTCAACAAATCATAGAATTTATCAATTCGTGTTTTCATTTTGGACAAACTAAATGGTGGGATCTACTATCATTGTTACAGGTGATTCAAATGTTACTTATATGACAAACACAGTCAGCTGGCGAACAAGTAATTGGATTACTTTAAAGATATTTACTATATGGGGGCAGCCATCTTGAACATGGCGTGAAACTAAATAAAGAGACGAGTTGAGAAATGGAGTTTTTCAGATTATTATTCATTACCAAGTCTCCCTTCAACATGATTTCTACACTTACAGGGGAACATACTACTATCATCTGGAAACAATGTATGAGTTTCTCCAGTCTTTGCTACAAATCTAGTCAATGCTCTTTCAACATCCCTTCGTTGAGATGCAGCTTGTTCTCTGATTGCCTGGTATTCAGTCTCAGGTCTTCTGTAGCTCTAGAAATAGTTAGTAAAAATTAAACATTATTCACCATGTCAGTGTTTTCTGAATTTTTAAATATACAGATAACGAAATCATTATAAATAGAGGCAGAATTAGACTCACTGGTGTTTTGATATATGTATGTGGATCAGGAAACGATGGTAAATAGTCCGGTATATGAGAGGGATGAGGTTTCTTTTCACCAGCTTGTAGTATTCTAGGTGTAACTGGAGGCCGCATCTGTTCCTCTGAAAAATTAAAAAGTATGCTTGTGAGATTTTGGTAATGTATCACTTGTTTTTGTATCATGATATGGGCTGGTATTAGGTAATTACTGGATCAGAGAACATATACACAGCATCGAAGCTTATTGGACGAATCAACTTCGGGATGAATAAACTTATGGGATGAATCAACTAGGGACAAGTCAACCTGTGGGACTAATGTGATTTGGGACAAATCGACTATCCACCTAGAGCATACATGTGTGATGGGGGATGGCTCACTGCATTGGCTGCAATATAAATTAATGATACATATGTGTCAGTTTTTTTTATTTGTGCATCAAGGCCCACTAAGTTCAATGTATTTTTGTATTTAAGTCTGAACAGAATCTATCCATGCAACTGAGATCTAGTTCTGGAATGCCAAAAATATGTGATTCTTGTACAATATTTACCTTAAAATGGCTGCCATTTGGCCATTTTGAATCAAATTATGAAACAAACCAAAGTGCACATGTGCAATATGATGCCTGATGTATCTGTGAAGTTTGAACTTAATCGGTTCAAAAATCTCTGATATGACTGGATACAAACAAACCGATGCATGTACAATGCACACATAGGTCAACAATTCAAGTTCTTGTTTTAGGACTGTGTCCCAATAGGTACTAAAAATCTCATATAAAATAGCTGGAATATATTTTATTTATAGAGAACAATACTTACGAGGTTGAATTAAAACTCTTTGTGATTTCTTAGCATGCATCGTTAATGCAGCCAAATCTGTACCCATTTCTATCAAAGAAACTGCAACATCATTTAACATTGGTTCAGTGCGCCCAGATAGTTCACAGTATGTCTGTGCACTTCTTCCCAATTCAGTTATATCTGAAATATAATTAAGATATGTATTTTATCAGTCTGTTAATAAAGAGGACATTAGCACATGAATGTACACCAAACACTTTAGGCAAAAAAAGGTACCATGTGACCCTAAGAGATTGAAAATATTGCACTCCCAGCTACAAATGTATGAACAGCAACATTTTGGATGCTGTTTCACAAATAATGCAAAGTAAGACAGCTCACTCATGGCAAAACCTTTTCAGAAATATTTTTCAATGATAATGTTAACAGTGTAATGATTTTCTGATATTGGACTGAAAATAATTCAACTCAACTCGACACCACGTTGTGTTTGGTGCCATATTGAATACTGCCCAGGGTTTTAGCCAGCCATCAGTCCACCAACCAAACAGACTGGCAACTTTGATTTTGGACTGGCAACTTTTTCCCATTTTTCTGTTTTTTCTATTGTTCTTTGGTAATTTTACCAAAATATACCCAAAACCATCTAAATTTTCATGAAGTTGAATTGTTTTGGACTGGCAGTTGCAAATTCCTTGCTAATAGCCTGATACTGCCTACCTTGCATGGTAACTAACAACTAATTGCCTACTACATGATAAATGTTGAACATATATCTTGTTGTTATGGTATTGAATAATATTAATACAAACAAAAATAAAAAAAATAAGCCACATACTTTAAATTAATTTCCCTGGGACAAGTAGCAAAACATTGGGGTGGTGTCTTTGGCATACAAACGTGTACAAAACTACTAAAACTCAGTTGATATGCAAATGATCATCTTATAAGTAGTGCAAAATGACATACCAGTATCTAAAAATAATAAGATGATAAAGCACATTTGTTTTCCTCACAAAAAAAGCACCCCACCCATACATAACATGTATCTCAAACCACAAACCTTCAGCACTAGCTGCAGTTCTGTAGCTCGCTCGGTTTCGCTGTCGGTTATTTTGTTCGTCGTGATGTTAACGCGAAACCAGGGAGCTACAGTTCCATCCTATGCGAGTTACCATATTTTACCGACCTGAAATCAGGTCGGGCCGTAACAGCCGTTTTTTTTTTCATTATTTTCGCCTCAAGGCTCTACTTTTCTACTGTCGATGGGTCCCGAAACTATTTCATCAATTATTTTGAGGGTGATGGTCCGAAATTGGTCGATTTCACGATGAAAGCCGCGGAAAACTTCAGCGAAATCCCCTCGTTTGTCGCCATCTTGAATAAGTTATCGTGACGTCACAAGG